ACTTATAGTCAAGTAAGTTTTAGATTAAGAAGGGTTAGATATTATGTTGATTCCTCAATTATGTAAAATGATACAGTGATACAGCGCATTTTGGTGGGTATTTAAACATGCCCCGTCTCAGAAAACGTGTCATATTTCAAAACCCATTTGAAGAGCCACTAGCTGAAGAGTGGGGACGCCTGAATTAGAAGGGTGTTGAAAGGTAATGAAGTAATGAACCATTGGTTTAACTTTGATGAACCAAAATGGTATTTGATTTTTTTATACTAGTATCCAAAAAGACCAGTGTTTCTGTTGGCTAAAAGGGAAAACAAAAACCAAAAAACAAAAAAGGCCAGTGTTTGTTTTTTTTTAAAAAAAAAAGAGAAAAGACCAGTGTTTCTAGTTAGCATTGACACAGCATTAGAATAGGACCGTTTGGTTCAAGGACATTCTAGTGAAGGAAATGGAAAACTAAAATTTTTCAGAGGCCGTGATCGCTTGGTTGAAAGAAGAGGTTGGAAAGGAAATAAAATGGGATCATGATTTTTCTTTAAAGAGCAGCAGAGTGGTGGGAATTAATTTTCAGTTGCCCGTGTAAAATAGCCAATGACCCATTTGCCCTTGATAAGATTGGACCCTCATGAAATCTGTAGACAGAGTATTGTGGGGAAAAATCTAGTGAGGGTGAAGACTCTTCTGCAAGCGTGGACTTTCGGGACAAGAAGTATCATTCCTGAACTTATCATCATTTGACTCCTATTATAGCATTTAAAAACTCATGAGGTTAGAATTAATTTGAGTTTGGTATTTGAATCAACTTGAAAATTCAAGACGAATTGGTAAAATTTTTGTAGATGATGGAGTTAAGAGTTCAAAAGCATTGCAACCATCCAGTATCCTTGTATTGTGAGAGGCCATTGCATGTGGCATGGAATGCAAGAGTACGGCAAGATAAGTAGTCACAAGAATATGGCAAGATGAAATCAACAAGAGTATGGCGAGAACTGTATTTTTATATTCCACAATATGAATTGCTAATTTGGTTAATTGATTTTTTTTTTGGGGGGGTTCTCATGCATAAGCAACCGGAAACTTACTTTGTTTTGTGCATTGAAAACAGGGTATAATTAAGGGTTTAAGTACCATGTAGGTAAATTGAAATTTTGTCTGGAAGTTAGAATATGCTTAAACAACATGAAATATACTTGAACAAATTCGAATGCTATGAAAGAAAATTTAAATTTTTCTTGAGTAAATTTGAATTTGAATTTGAAATTACTGGATCAAATTTGAGTTTGCCTACTTCTTTCTTGTCATAATATTAAAGCTTTAATTTTACTGGACTTGACTTTAAAATAAAAAGATTTTTTGAATGGGTCATGTTATGTTAGATGAAACAACCTTCCTAAATAAACAGATAAACATACTTTTTTTTATAGTAACTTTAAGAAATAACTTTTTATAACCAAACCATGCTAAATACAAACTCAAATTATATCACAATCATCTACACTAACTAATTATATAATATTGTTATTTGTGATAAAAAAGAGCAGCATCCAATCATACATCCTATCACGGATAAAAGAACTTTTCTTAACTCATTTAAAAACAAACTACATAAAAAAGGATCAATCTTATCTAATCTGGTTACAAAACAACATATAATATAGCTCATAAATCAAAATATTAAAAATTAAATCTTAATTCATACTTTATAATAAATTCATAAACAAATCACATGCGAATAGGCCTCTGGCCACCTATCAGCACACATACCACAATAGTACACTCAAAGGACATAAGAAATAATAATGCATGAATCAATTAAAACCAATTTATTCTAAGGTGACAATATACAGGATACAACATAGCTCATAAATCGAGGAGACGCTACAAGTTGCTAATGTAGCTTTACTCCTCCTGAGCCTTCCCTGATGTCCCTCCTTTAAAACTTTCACCTGAAAAATGTTAAACAATAGGGATGAGACAACGTTTCAGTAACTAAATCCCTACCTATCACACACACTAGCATGGGCTAACGAGGTGTCAGGTGGGATACACAGAGTTAATAATAGTCAATAGACACTTATCTAACAGTTGAACTCACAATAACCATATAGGTCAAATATATCGGCCAATCTCATGCAACTAATGATTTCAACAGAGATAACATACTTTTCATTTATTCAAAAGATATAAACATCAATGAAGATACCATGTCATATGAAATCCATGAACCCAAATTCATCTTTATATCCTCCTTATTTCCGCTGACTGGACCCATAGGCTAAGTTCTTTCCATTTGACTAGCTACTCTGACAAGCTCACCACTCGAGTGATATGGACCGGGCAAAGACCACAGAGCACTCGGTGGACCATGGGTTCCCTCTCGAAGAACTAGTGGGGTGTCGCAGTCCCTCAAAGAACTAGTGGGACAATAATAGTGGTCAACCATAGAGCTCCGTATGGAGGCCAATACCACGTGGTAAGTATATAAATCTCAATAACTCCAATCATCTCCTTTCCCCACCCAAACTAGATGCACAAGGTTTAAAATAACACATTTATATGCATAATCAATCGAATTCCAGAATAACATCTCATAGTCATAATCATTAATTTCCAACAATACAAACGATTTCAATCCTTTTCAAAACAGTATCCCACAAGACCATTCATATAAAACATAATATATGTATACGAAACTTGGTTATAAAATTACTCACCAACCTCATACCAATGCATGTAACAGATAGAAATTTAGTTACTTGGTCTCCTAACTAACAATCAAGCATAAACAAGGCCCGTACTCGAAAATGTCACAATGGGGTTTATATTTACAATTGAAATTAAAACATTATTTCTACAGTATTAGAGTAAACTACTCACAAATTTCTAACCTTTAACACTCCCTCTACTACATTCAGTTGTTACTCGAAAATCTAGCTCGAAAGGCTTTTTTTTTCTAAGGTTTGGGGTAAGACCATATATATGATGATTTATATTTAATTCCTAGGCTCCCTTAACTTATGTTATCTTTAATTATTAAATTATATCATTTGAAGCACCAAATTCACAACTTAGATAGAAAACCCTCAATTTATAACTTATGTTTTATCTTCAAAGAATTTAGACGGATAACCTCAATATGAGTTAATTTATTCTTACTATAGAAGCCTAATTATTAATCTAACAGTTGAAACTAACAAGTTTGAAGTCTAGGATCAGCTGACCAAATTGCAGCCCGATCCAATGGTTTACAGAACCGTAAATAGCACTTTACTGAGACTATCTCAGTTTTGTGCGAAAATTATTTGGTTCATCTTTCACTCTTCCCTACTACCACCTATATATAGGCTCCTAGAGCTTCCTCTTCTCATCATTTAGTTGATGTGGGACTTCTTAACATTGCTATTTTATACACTTCCTATCATTTAATCAATGTGAGACTTCTTAACATCGCTATTTTATTCATTTTCTCATACACACACAAAATCAGAATTATTTTAATTACATATATGTATATTTAACCTCTACCTATTCTATAAAAATTTGTTTAAATATTAGATATATGAAAATTAGGATGTTACATAGAAATTAGTCTCAGTAAGCTTTTAATTGATTTGTCATTTGTCTAATTTGTATTTAAATTAATAAAGATATGTTCTCTCCTTATCATATTACATCTTATGATTTAAAGACAAAATGTGATCGACTTAAAAATATAAACAAGGAATTGAAAAAAAAAATTTATCATCTCACGAACCAAAATTAGAATGTATGATTTTTATATACCCCTCTGGTTCTATTTATAGAGCAGAGAGAGAAGATATTTTTTAGTCCTATTTATAAAGCACTAAGAGAAAATTTTTGTATGGATATATAATTTTACTCCGCATTTATTATTGTATTGATTTTGTTTATATACAATATAATGCATATTAAATAGGGATCAAATTGAGAAGTTGTTGAATTTTAAATGGGAATTAATGAAATTTAATGTTTTCTTTGGACTATGTGAAATATGCTGAAAGTGACTTATAAATAGAACCAGAAGAGTAATATCTATATTTTTGTTTCATATTCAAATTGAGTATTTTGCTTTTTTTTAAATATATTTTATTTACACTTTGTTATTTAATTTTATTTATTTATTCTTTAATTATTTAATATTGGGTGATTTATATGTATTTAATAATCATGATGTTTATTTAAATTATAATTTTACGGTTAAAAAGAATTTTTTTATTTATATCCTTTTTTATAAAAAAGGTATTTTTATTTAATAATATTATATTCTTTCATTAAGGGCAATACGGTGAAATAGCTCATTTTTTTAACCTCTTGTCATCCAACCAAATATAAACTTTTTATTAAACCCATTTTCAATTCTACAGTGAATCAAACACCCATGTGGCCAGAATTTTTTTTTTTTTCCCATTCTTTTTCATTTATTTTCATTTCAATCGACTCTTTAACCAAACGGGTCCCTAGAAAGGATAACGTGCCAACTGCCAAGGGATTCGCGAATCATTGGCAAATATTTCAAATTTCTAGTTGAAGTCAATAGTTTAGCTTGCAAATATAATCATTGATGTTTTTGAAATAAATATAATTTCAACAAAAAATTATTTGACTACAACGTTTGAGTTATACAGTAATAATGATGTATGGAATGATTTTTTTTGCCCTTTTAAAGAGAAGACAAAGTAAAACCACTTACTATTTTACTTATTTATTTACAATTAGTAACTATAAAATTTGAATTATAGTTGGTTAAAAAATTTTGGATTATAATTTCTTATAATTATATGCAATCAAGTTTCAATTATTGTTGTTGGGTGACATGCCGAAAAAGAAACAAAAGAAAACCACCTGTCCATTTTCCAGCACTGTTCTCGACCTCGACCCGTCACACCTTTGCGAGTTGCGACATAAACAAGTCACGGACTCACAGTAGCAATCCAACTAACCTGCTGGCAATCTCTAGTAGCAATGGTGATTCAGATATTGAGAACTATTTATTGCTTTGTTTTCTTCGTTTTACTCCGGCATTACCTTTGAATGGGAGTTCAAAACTTCAGTTTCTGGAGAAGAAACGCTTTGTTCGAGTTTTGAATTTCTTCCTGTCCAACTATGGCTTCTTCTTCTTCTTCTTCTTCTTCTTTCTTCAATGATTCTCAAGAAAAATACGATGTGTTCATCAGTTTCAGCGGCAAGGACGTTAGACGAGGTTTTCTGAGTCATCTAGTAAAGGAACTATGTCGAGCGAAAATTAGGGCTTATGTAGATGAAGAAATGAAAAGAGGAGAACAAATATCATCCTCGCTTCGGGGAGCAATTCAAAACTCGCAAATCTCAATCGTCATATTCTCAAAAAACTACGCCTCTTCAAGCTGGTGTTTGGATGAGCTTGAAGAAATCATGAAAATGAAGGAACAAGTTGTTTTACCCGTTTTTTACTACTTAGATCCCTCACATGTACGGCACCAGCGAGGCGCTTATAAGAGGGCATTTGCTAAACATGAATTGAAGTTTCAAGGAAACGGCTTGAAGGTTCAAAATTGGAGATCAGCCTTGAAGAATGCTGCTGAGCTATCTGGCTATAATATGTCCCATTATCGGTAAAAATTTGAAAAATACTATTTAAACATTTATTTCTGACATCAGCTCCCAAAAAAAAAATTATTTCTGACAGTTGATGTATCTGTCTGCGTGTAGCGGGCTACCTAATTTAGACCTTGAAATACGTTTCTTCTTGTTTCGTAGAAACTAGAGCATGTTTTGCATCGGAATAATTTAACTGGTAATTTCCTAATATGAATTGCAACAGTTTCATTCCGTGCTCAGGTTGATGTTACATTTACCTTGAGTGTTTTTTTTGGGTGAGATTACCTTGAGTAGTTCTATTCTAATTATGTCAAGAAAAGGGTTAAAATTTTGCTGGTGGTCACATCAAAATTTAATGCAAACGATGCAAAAGCAGTACCATAGATATCATGAATGAAGATTAAAAATGTGACATCATTTTATTGATGAGAATATTTACCTTAATTATTAACTAGTAAGTCTAACAAACGGTTTGGATTAGGAGTCACTGAATTGTGTGCATATCAGTATTCCTCTTGTTGATCAGCTAATTTATTTCATCTTCTTGTCCTGATTGATTCTTTTTTCCTTCTCTGATTTAGTAATGAATCTGAACTCATAGATGGCATCGTCAATGGTGTTTCGTCAAGCTTGAATATCTCTCCTAGTGAATCAAAAGGCCTTGTTGGGATTGATGAACATCTTGATTGTATTAGATTGTTTTTGGAAAGGAAGTCAAAAGAAGTTCAAATCCTTGGAATTTGTGGCATGAGGGGCATCGGTAAATCAACCATTGCACAAGTTGCAATTGACAAATTCTCTTCCCACTTTGAAGGCTCTTACTTTTTAGAAAATGTGAGAGAAGAATCGCAAAAGTATGGGCTGAAATCTTTAAGAGCGAAACTTATTTCTGAGCTGCAAGGGGAAAAATCCACTTTTGTTCATAAAAGGCTTGTTAGACGAAGAAAAGTTTTTGTTGTGCTTGATGATGTGGGTTCTTCAGAACAACTACAGCATTTGGTTACAGATGGAATTCATTGGGGACCTGGTAGTAGATTCATTGTAACAAGCAAAGACAAGCAAGTGCTAACTGCTGGCGGAGTTCATGCCATACATGAAGTCAAGGAATTGGGCCCTAAAGAATCCCTTAAGCTTTTCAGCTTAAATGCCTTCAAAAAAAGCCATCCTGAACAGGGATATGAGGAACTTTCACAGAGGGCAGTTGGTTATGCCAAGGGCCTTCCTCTAGCTTTAAAAGTTGTGGGTTCATCTCTTTGTTCTAGAGACAGAGGAACATGGGAAAGTACACTGAGAAAACTTGAGAGGTACCCCGATCCTCAAATTCAAGATGTGTTAAAAACGAGCTATGATGGATTAGATGATGTGCTAAGGGACGTATTTCTTGACATTGCTTTCTTTTACAAAGGAGAAGATAAAGATCATGTCATAAGGCTACTTGATGCCAGTAACCTTTTTGCTGCTTATGGAATAGAAGGACTTCTAGATAAAGCTCTTATATCCATTTCAAATGACAAGGTAATACAAATGCATGACTTAATTCAAGAAATGGGTTGGGAAATAGTTCGGCAAGAATGCAAGGAAAATCCTGGAAGACGTAGTCGGTTGAAGGACTTTGAGGAAGTGTATGATGTGTTAAAAATAATAAGGTACGAGAAAGATATCTTATCTTCTCTCTGCAAATGATTTTTGTACAAAGTGCAGCCATATTCATATCATTTACTTTTCTTATGAATTTGTTTTATTTTTCAGGGAACTGATGCCATTAAAGGGATAGTGTTATATGCTTCTCTCTTTAAAGATGTGCAATTGAATGTTGACACCTTCAAAAATATGACTAATCTCAGAGTTGTCAAATTCTACTCTCCTTGGCATGTGAGATCCTGTAATGTGCACCATCCAACAAGTTTTGAGTCATTCTCTGACGAATCAGGGAGCCTAGAGTGGAATGGATACCCATTCAAATCTTTACCATTAAATTTTTATCCTGAGAAACTTGTTGAGCATTCTATGCCAAACAGTCATGTTATGAAACTTTGGAGACCAGTGCAGGTAGCTTTATTTGTATCTTTAATTAGTTATCTTCTATGAAAATTCTAAAATTTTCCCCATTTGTTTAATTGCTTCAGGATTATGTGAATTCTAAGAGGATAAGCCTTGGCAGATCAAAACAGTCCATGGACTTGCTTGATTTCTCAAAGGCACAGGAAATAGAGTGGGAGGGTATTTGTTTTTGCGAAAGTTTCTGTAACGTTGATCCACACATATTATCTCTTTCCATGACTGTTGCCTTGAATTTTGTCCGCTCCAAATATTCAAAGACTCTTCACAGTGAGGGTAATTTTAGATCCCTTAGAAACTTTGATGTCAGTTTCTGCTTTAGCGTGAAGGAATTTTCATTGTCATCAAAGGAAATATCAGATTTGGATTTGTTAACTTCAAATTCCAAAATACTGTACTCATCAATTGGGAGTCTCAGTGAGCTACGAAGGATCATACTAGGTGGTTCAAGACTAGAGATTCTTCCCATAAACGAGTTATGTTGCCTGAGATCTTTTGAAGAGCGTAATCTTTCTGATTGCAGACAAATGAATCAAAGCCCAAAGCTTCATGTCCTATTCGATGCCTTATTTGATTTACAAGAGCTATTTATGGCTGGATGCAGTGACTTCTTTGAAGTCCCTGATATTATTGGCACTTATTCATCATTAAAGTATTTGGGACTGAAAGGAAGTTGTATTGATAGCTTACCTGCTAGCATTAAAAATCTTCCATTGCTTAAAGCAATTTACCTGAGGAATTGCAGGAGGCTTCTATCTATACCACAACTTCCGCCATCAATTATGCATCTAGATGCAACTAACTGCACATCACTGGAGAATATATTCACTATAACTACATCTGCACCACAGCAGGATGACATTTTGTCATATTTCTTTTTGTTTGTGAATTGTTTGAAATTGGATGAGCATTCACTTTGCAATATAATGGACAATGCTTACCTCTCGTTGAAGCGAGCAGTTCTTAACAATTTAGAAGCAAGTGTTTTTTGTTATCCGAGTAACAGAGCTCCAGAGTGGTTCAGATGTAATCAAACAAGAGGGGCTTCCATGTCTATGCAGCTTTCACCAGCTGTTGATGAATTGTTGGGTTTCGTTTTCTGCACTGTTCTGCCCCAGTTCACCCCAAATGAAATATGTCCAACTTACGTGAAATGCTCATGTTGCTTTGAAGATGGTGAAAAGCTTGAAGGATCAAGTACATGTGGTTATTCCATCACAGAATTATACTCTGATCATGTTTTTCTGTGGTATGACCCGCAGTACTGTATACACATTGTAGAAGGGGTTAAATCAAAATTAGGACAAGGTGAGGACGTCCCAAAGGTCTCATTTGAATTCTATGTTGTTACTTATGATGATGACAATGGTGAGAGGGTCAAACATGAGCACCTGATCAAAGAATGCGGAGTCCATCCAATATATGCCCCAGACCAACAAATGGAATTGGAATCAGAGTTAAAAATGAAGTCAAGGTGGGGACTTGATAAGCTTGATTCATTTATGGGCCGAGTTTATTCTAGGAAAAGGAGGAACAAGGGCGCATTAACGACTAGGGGGACTGATGAGTCAGTTAAAGAGGCTGAGGTTGCACCTAAGAAAGTTGCCAAGGTGGCAAGGGCTAAGTTGGACCGTTTCTAGGTCTGTATGCTACTGAGGCAAAGGTGGACACTGTTTTGGGCAAGGAGAGGTCCTGACACTGTTTTTAAGGCAAAGGAGGATAGTGTTTTAGACCTGGTTCTACTATTTGCTGGTGTAACTTTGTCTTCATTTTGCTCCTCGTGTCATCAAGCTGCAAGCTGTACACCAGAACCTATCCAGCATTAATAAAACATCTTCCAGGTCCCATCAGGGCGGAAAATTGGTGAGCAATAAGTTGATAACGACTCCATCCAACTAAGAATATTTCATTCTTTGATCAATCCACTTGTTTAGATGCTCCGTGGGAATGGAATTCAAGCTGAGTACTCAGTCCATGGGCTATGGCTACTCAGAATGTTGATGATTTAACACTCATACTATCAGAATGGTAGTTGAAATGGAATCTCTGCTCCTGTTAAGCAATGGATCTTTATCTTCTCTATTTTTGGATCCAAAAGTCCAGTGCATCTCTATCTTCCTCACCTTGGAACTACAGTTTGCAAGCAGAATGGAAGGAAAATGGTCTAGAGAAATTTTCCATGATTGGTTGGTTCTCTCTCTCTCCCTCTCTTTCTCCTCTCATCCCTTGGTACACGAATTTTCTTCATATTATATACATGGGAATCAATTGATAGTTGAAATTTTGCGTAGACAAGAATAAAAATGGTCATCCTTGAAGAATAACACTTCCTTATGTTTCAAAGTGGCTACTTTTCTAATGTGCTTAACTCTTATGGTATGCTTGAATCTCTTTTTGTTCTGAAGTTTGGGAATAATTTCTTTTGATTTGTTATTGATGGAGATTTGGTAGTATGGGATACCAAGTCTCATATTGAGTAGAATATGATGCTCAATAAGGTATTTAAGTGGGTTGGTTCTCCCATCTTAACAGCTAGTTTTTGGGATAGGGTTTCATATCCCACTTAGGTACCCATTAATTGATATCAAAGTCAGGTTGTTGACGGTTTCGGAGAAGGCTACCTATAGAGGGTTTTGACCGGCAGCAGGCCGAGTGAACTGTTGTGGAGTGCAACCGTTGGCTTTCTGACAGGGACCAATTGATGGGGACTTGATAGTATGGATACCAAATCCCACATTGAGTAGAATGAGATGCTCAATGGGGCGTTTAAGTGGGTTGGTTCGCCCACCTCAACAGTTAGCCTTTGGGATGGTGTTTCCTAAGAAAACAAGTCACGGACATCGACCCGTCGCACCTTTGCAACATAAACAAGTCACGGACTCACAGTAGCAATCCAACTAACCTGCTGGCAATCTCTAGTAGCAATGGTGGTTCAGATATTGAGAACTATTTATTGCTTTGTTTTCTTCGTTTTACTCCGGCATTACCTTTGAATGGGAGTTCAAAACTTCAGTTTCTGGAGAAGAAACGCATTGTTCAAGTTTTGAATTTCTTCCTGTCCAACTATTGCCTTTAATCTTTTAATTATTTGTTTTTATTGTAATTTTTATATATTTATTTATTAAATATATAATTATTGTTTTTAAATATTTACAAGTTGTATATATATAATATAGGGAAAATCCCAGAAAAAGTCCTTTGAATATACTAAATCCTAGATTGGGTCTTTAAATTTTGAAAATGACAGAATGGGTCATTGACCCAATCTGTCATTTGTGAAATTCAGGCGAATTGACATTTTTGCCCCTGAGCAAAAGTGAGTAGTTATTTTCTAAACAAATTTAGGTAACGCTTACATTGTTCTAGTGATTACAAGATTCGTTGTAGTTAATAATAAGGTACCTGACAATAATAAGATACCTGACTATGAAAAAATGAATAGTTATTCTCTACACAAATCTAGGTAATACTTACATTGTTCTAGTGATTACAGAATTAGTTGTAGTTAATAACAAAACACCTGACTATGAAAAAGTGAGTAGTTATTCGCTACACGAATCTAGGTAACAACTAAACTCTTATAGTGATTCTTTGAATCATTGTAGTGAATGAATAAATGAGGGTAAAATTGTCAATTCGCCTGAATTTCACAAATGACAGATTGGATCAATGACCCATTCTGTCATTTTCGAAATTTAAAGACCCAATCTGGGATTTCCCATATTCCAATGACCTTTTTTGGGATTTTCCCTATAATATATGACATTTGCTCCTTAATATAATACCTTAATAGATTAATTTGAGTAGATTAAAAAAATAAATAATTACTTAATTATATTATATATTTTGTGATCTTTCTAAAATATTTATGTATATTATTAAATTATATATTACTTTATCAGTCAAGTAAATTAATTAAATATAAATGCTTTATAGTAATTTATTTAATTTTCTCAATCTTCTCAAATTAGTTAATTGAGTTTTTTTAAATAAAACTCATGTCGTTTTCAGTTTTACATCTAAATTTATTTTTTTGATTATCCATCTAAACAAGTTTTAACTTTTTAAGTTGATTTTTTAAAAACGTCAATGCAAAGATAAATTATATTACAATAACTGACCTTTATTTTTATCTATTTTTACAAAAGTCAGATAGAATAAAGATCAGTTTTGTCACTGTTAATCTAGACACACTTAAAGTCAAGTAAGTTTTAGCTTAAGAAGGGTTAGATATTATGTTGATTCCTCAGTTATGTAAAATGATGCAGTTATACGGCACATTTTGGTGGCATTTAAACATGCCCCGTCTCAGAAAACGCGTCATGTTTCAAAACCCATTTGAAGAGCTACTAGCTAAAGAGTGGGGACGCCTGAATTAGAAGGGTGTTGAAATGTAATGAAGTGATGAACCATTGGTTTAACTTTGATGAACCAAAATGGTATTTGATTTTTTTATACTAGTATCTAAAAAGACCAGTGTTTCTGTTGGCTAAAAGGGAAAACAAAAACCAAAAAACAAAAAGGCCAGTGTGTTTTTTTTTTTTAAAAAAAAAAGAGAAAAGACCAGTGTTTCTAGTTAGCATTGACACAGCATTAGAATAGGGCCGTTTGGTTCCAGGAAATTCTAGTGAAGGAAATGGAAAACTAAAATTTTTCAGAGGCGGTGATCGCTTGGTTGAAAGAAGAGGTTGGAAAGGAAATAAAATGGGATCATGATTTTTCTTTAAAGAGCAGCAAAGTGGTGGGAATTAATTTTCAGTTGCCCGTGTAAAATATCCAATGACCCATTTGCCCTTGATAAGATTGGACCCTCATGAAATCTGTAGACACAGTATTGTGTGGAAAAATTTAGCGATGATGAAGAATCTTCTGCAAGCATGGCTTTCGGGACAAGAAGCATCATTCCTGAACTTATCATCATTTGACTCCTATTATAGCATTTAAAAACTCATGAGGTTAGAATTAATTTGAGTTTGATATTTGAATCAACTTGAAAATTCAAGACGAATTGGTAAAAATTTTGTAGATGATGGAGTTAAGAGTTCAGAAGCATTGCAACCATCCCGTATCCTTGTATTGTGAGAGGCCATTACATGTGGCATGGAATGCAAGAGTACGGCAAGATAAGTAGTCACAAGAATATGGCAAGATGAAATCAACAAGAGTATGGCGAGAACTGTATTTTTATATTCCACAATATGAATTGCTAGAATTGATTATTAATTTAATTTGGTTATTATTTGCTAGAACCAGACCCAAAGTTTTTTTTTTGGGGGGGGGGGTGTCATGCATAAGCAACCTGAAACTTACTTTGTTTTGTGCATTGAAAACAGGGTATAATTAAGGGTTTAAGTACCATGTAGGTAAATTGAAATTTTGTCTGGAAGTTAGAATATGCTTAAACAATATGAAATATACTTGAACAAATTCGAATGCTATGAAAAAAAATTTAAATTTTTCTTGAGTAAATTTGAATTTGAAATTGAAATTGAAATTACTGCATCAAATTTGAGTTTGCCTACTTCTTTCTTGTCATAATATTAAAGCTTTAATTTTACTGGACTTGACTTTAAAATAAAAAGAGTTTTTGAATGGGTCCTGTTACGTTAGATGAAACAACCTTCCTAAATAAACAGATAAATCTAATTTTTTTATAGTAACTTTAAGAAATAACTTTTTATAACCAAACCATGCTAAATACAAACTCAAATTATATCACAATCATCTACACCAACTAATTATATAATATTGTTATCTATGATAGAAAAGAGCAGCACCCAATCATACATCCTATCACGGATAAAAGAACTTTTCTTAACTCATTTAAATACAAACTATATAAGAAAGGATCAATCTTATCTAACCTGGTTACAAAACAACATATAATATAGCTCATAAATCAAAATATTAAAAATTAAATCTTAATTTATACTTTATAATAAATTCATAAACAAATCACATGCGAATATGCGATCCTAGGCCTTCGGCCACCTACTAGCACACATACCACAATAGTACACTCAAAGGACATAAGAAATAGTAATGCATGAATCAATTAAAACCAATTATTTTAAGGTGGCAATATACAGGATACAACATAGCTCATAAATTGAGGAGACGCTACAAGTTGCTAATGTAGCTTTACTCCTCTTAAGCCTTCCTTGACGTCCCTCCTTTACAGCTTTCACCTGAAAAATGTTAAACAATAGGGATGAGACAACGTCTCAGTAACTAAATCCCTACCTATCACACACACTAGCATGGGCTAGCGAGGTGTCAGGTGGGATACACAGAGTTAATAGTAGTCAATAGACACTTATCTAAAGTTGAACTCACAATAACCATATAGGTCAAATATATCTGCCAATCTCATGCAATTGATGATTTCAAAAGAGATAACATACTTTTCATTTATTCAAAAGACATAAACATCAATGAAGATACCATGTCATATGAAATCCATGAGCCCAAATTCATCTTTATATCCTCCTTATTTCCGCCAACTGGACCCATAGGCTAAGTTCTTTCCATTTGACTGGCTACTCTGACAAGCTCACCACTCGAGTGATATGAACCGGCCAAAGACCACAGAGCACTTGGTGGACCATGAGTCCCCTCTGGAAGAACTAGTGGGGTGTCGCAGTCCCTCAAAGAACTAGTGGGACAATAATAGTGGCCAACCATAGAGCTTCGTATGGAGGCCAATACCACGTGGTAAGTATATAAATCTCAATAACTCCAATCATCTCCTTTCCCCACCCAAACTAGATGCACAGGGTTTAAAATAACACATTTATATGCATAATCAATCAAATTCCAGAATAACATCTCATAGTCATAATCATTAATTTCCAACAATACAAATGATTTCAATCCTTTTCAAAACAGTATCCCACAAGACCATTCATACAAAACATAATATATGTATACGAAACTTGATTATGAAATTACTCACCAACCTCATACCAATGCATGTAACAGATAGAAATTTAGTTACTTGATCTCCTAGCTAACAATCAAGCACAAACAAGGCCCATACTTGAAAATGCCACAATAGGGTTTATATCTACAATTGAAATTAAAACATTATTTCTATAGTATTAGAGTAAACTACTCACAAATTTCTAACCTTTAACACTCCCTCTACTACATTCAGCTGTTACTCAAAATTCTAGCTCGAAAGGCTTTTTTTTTTCTAAGGTTTGGGGTAAGAACATATATATGATGATTTATATTCAATTCCTAGGCTCCCTTAACTTATGTTATCTTTAATTATTAAATTATATCATTTGAAGCACCAAATTCACAACCTAGATAGAGAACCCTCAATTTATAACTTATGTTCTATCTTCAAAGAATTTAGACGGATAACCTCAATATGAGTTAATTTATTCTTACTATAGAAGTCTAATTATTAATCTAACCGTTGAAACTAACAAGTTTGAAGTCTAGGATCAATTGACCAAATTGCAGCCCGATCCAACGGTTTACAGAACCGTAAACAGCACTTTACTGAGACTATCTCAGTTTTGTGCGAAAATTATTTGGTTCATCTTTCACTCTTCCCTACTACCACCTATATATAGGCTCCTAGAGCTTCCTCTTCTCATCATTTAGTTGATGTGGGACTTTTTAACATTGCTATTTTATCCACTTCCTATCATTTAATCAATGTGGCACTTCTTAACATCGCTATTTTATTCATGTTCTCATACACACACATAAAATCAGAATTATTTTAATTACATATATGTATATTTAACCTCTACCTATTCTATAAAAATTTGTTTAAATATTAGATATATGAAAATTAGGATGTTAAATTAGAAATTAGTCTCAGTAATCTTTTAATTGATATGTCATTTGTCTAATTTGTATTTAAATTAATAAAGATATGTTCTCTCCTTATCATATTACATCTTATGATTTAAAGACAAATGTGATCGACTTAAAAATATAAACAAGGAATTGAAAAAAAAAATTTATCATCTCACGAACCAAAATTAGAATGTATGATTTTTATATACTCCTCTGGTTCTATTTATAGAGCAGAGAAAGAAGATATTTTTTAGTGCTATTTATAGAGCACTAAGAGAAAATTTTTGTATAGATATATACTTTTACTCCTCATTTATTATTGTATTGATTTTGTTTATATGCAGTATAATGTATATTAAATAGGGATCAAATTGAGAAGTTGTTGAATTTTAAATGGGAATTAATGAAGTTTAATGTTTTCTTTAGACTGTGTGAAATATGCTGAAAGTGACTTATAAATAGGACCAGAAGAGTAATATCTATATTTTTGTTTCATATTCAAATTGAGTATTTTGCTTTTTTTAAATATATTTTATTTACACTTTGTTATTTAATTTTATTTATTTATTCTTTAATTATTTAATATTGGGTGATTTATATGTATTTAATAATCATGATGTTTATTTAAATTATAATTTTACGGTTAAAAAGAATTTTTTTATTTATATCCTTTTTTTTATAAAAAAAGGTATTTTTATTTAATAATATTATATTCTTTCATTAAGGGCAATACGGTGAAATAGCTCAATTTTTTAACCTCTTGTCATCCAACCAAATATAAATTTTTTATTAAACCCATTTTCAATTCTACAGTGAATCAAACACCCATGTGGCCAGAATTTTTTTTTTTCCCATTCTTTTTCATTTATTTTCATTTCAATCGACTCTTTAACCAAACGGGTCCCTAGAAAGGATAACGTGCCAACTGCCAAGGGATTCGCGAATCATTGGCAAATATTTCAAATTTCTAGTTGAAGTCAATAGTTTAGCTTGCAAATATAATCATTGATGTTTTTGAAATAAATATAATTTCAACAAAAAATTATTTGACTACAACGTTTGAGTTATACAGTAATGATGTATGGAATGATTTTTTTTTTCCTTTTAAAGAGAAGACAAAGTAAAACCACTTAGTATTTTACTTATATATTTACAATTAGTAACTATAAAATTTGAATTCTAGTTGGTTAAACAATTTGGCTTATAATTTCTTATAATTATATGCAATCATTTTCCAGCACTGTTCTCGACCTCGACCTGTCACACCCTTGCGACATAAAGGAGTCACGGACTCACAGTAGCAACCCAACTAACCTGCTGGCAATATCTAGTAGCAATGGTTGTTCAGATATTGAGAACTATTTATTGCTTTGTTTTCTTCATTTTACTCCGGCATTACCTTTGAATGGGAGTTCAAAACTTCAGTTTCTGGAGAAGAAACGCATTGTTCAAGTTTTGAATTTCTTCCTGTCCAACTATGGCTTCTTCTTCTTCTTTCTTCAATGATTCTGAAAAAAAATACGATGTGTTCATCAGTTTCAGCGGCAAGGACGTTAGACGAGGTTTTCTGAGTCATCTAGTAAAGGAACTACGTCGGGAGAAAATTATGGCTTATGTAGATGAAAAAATGAAAAGCGGAGAACAAATATCATCCTCGCTTCGGCGAGCAATTCAAAACCCGCAAATCTCAATCGTCATATTCTCAAAAAACTACGCCTCTTCAAGCTGGTGTTTGGATGAGCTGGAAGAAATCATGAAAATGAAGGAACAAATTGTTTTAGCCGTTTTTTATTACTTTGATCCCTCAAATGTACAGCTCCAGCAAGGCGCTTACAAGAGGGCATTCGCTAAACATGAATTGAAGTTCCAAGGAAACGGCTTGAAGGTTCAAAATTGGAGATCAGCCTTGAAGAATGCTGCTGAGCGATCTGGCTATAATACGTCCCATTATCGGTAAAACTTTGAAAAATAGTATTTAAACATTTATTTCTGACATCATCTCCAAAAAAGAAAAATATTTCTGGCAGTTGATATATCTGTGTGCTTGTAGCAGGCTACCTAATTTAGACCTTGAAATACATTTCTTCTTGTTTCGTGGAGCCAGAGCATGTTTTGCATCAGAATATTTAGCTGGTAATTTCCTAATATGAATTGCAACAGTTTCATTCTAGATCCTAAAAGTTCCATTCCGTGCTTAGGTAGATATTACGGGCGTTGGGCAAAACTGACTTCTAATTCAACTGACTTATGTAACTGAAGTTAGAGTAAAAGTCAGGTAGTGTAATGCAATTTATGTTTGGATAGGTGCTTTTAAAAAGTCAGTTGAAAAAGTTAAAAGTTGTTTGGATGATTAATAAAAAAGTTAATTTAGTTGTAAAATAACTGAAAATGACATTGAATAGTGTTTGAAATTTTATATTTTTAATGTGATAATAGTTTTAAAAAACACATAAAATTATTATGATAAAATATAAATAGTTTATTTGTGAAATTATAAAATAAAAATATTTGTTACGGAGAAAAATTTGAAAATGCATTGTAAATAATTAATTAAATATACATAATAGACAAACATGAATATAAATTAAAATTTATTTGGCCTCTAATTAAAGTAAATGGAATCACATAACTAATTAGATCGTAAGCTTTGCACAATTTTCCCATAAGTCAATTAGAAAAGTTGATCCAGATTGCGTTGGATAAGTCAGTTAGAGAAGTTATTTTTTTTTTCCATAAGTCAGTTAGAAAAGAAGCCTCATCCAAACAATTTTCTGAGCTACAATAAGCTACAAACCTCAGTTTCATGTTTTTCCGTGTGCTTTTACTATTTGCAACAGCAATCCAAACGAGTCCTACATTTACCTTGAGTGTTTTTTTTTTTTTGGGTAAGATTACCTTGCGCCGTTCTATTCTAATTATGTCTAGAAAAGGGTTAAAATTTTGCTGGTGGTCACATCAAAATTGAATGCAAACGATGCAAAAGCAGTACCATTGATATCATGAACGAAGATTAAAAATGTGACATCATTTTATTGATGAGAATATTTACCTTAATTAAGTCCAACAAACGGTTTGGATTATGAGTCACTGAATTGTATGCATATCAGTATTCCACTTGTTGATCAATTAATTTATTCCATCTTTTTGTCCTGATTGATTCTTTTCTCCTTCTCTAATTTAGTAATGACTCTAAGCTCATAGATGACATCGTCAATGGTGTTTCATCAAGGTTGAATATCTCTCCTAGTGAATCTAAAGGCCTTGTTGGGATTGATCAACATCTTGATTGTATTAGATCGTTTTTGGAAAGGAAGTCAAAGGAAGTTCAAATCCTTGGAATTTGGGGCATGAGTGGCATCGGTAAATCAACCATTGCACAAGTTGCAATTGACAAATTCTCTTCCCACTTTGACGGCTCTTACTTTTTAGAAAATGTGAGAGAAGAATCGCAAAAGCATGGGCTAAAATCTCTAAGAGAAAAACTTGTTTCTGAACTGCAAGAGGAAAATTCCACTTTTGTTCATAAAAGGCTTGTTAGATGAAGAAAAGTTTTTGTCGTGCTTGATGATGTGGGTTCTTCAGAACAACCACAGCGTTTGGTTACAGATGGAATTCACTGGGGACCTGGTAGTAGATTCATTGTAACAAGCAAAGACAAGCAAGTGCTATTTGCTGGAGGAGTTCATGCCATACATGAAGTCAAGGAATTGAGCCCTAAAGAATCCCTTAAGCTTTTCAGCTTAAATGGCTTCCAAAAAAGCCATCCTGAAAAGGGAGGTGAGGAACTTTCAAAAAGGGCAGTAGGTTATGCCACGGGCCTTCCTCTAGCTTTAAAAGCTGTGGGTTCATCTCTTTGTTCTAGAGATAGAGGAATATGGGAAAGTACACTAAGAAAACTTGAGAGGTACCCCGATCCTCAAATTCAAGATGTGTTGAAAACGAGCTATGATGGATTAGATGATGTGCTAAGGGATCTATTTCTTGACATTGCTTTCTTTTACAAAGGAGAAGATAAAGATCATGTCATAAGGCTACTTGATGCCAGTAACCTTTTTGCTGCTTATGGAATAGAAGGACTTCTAGATAGAGCTCTTATATCCATTTCAAATGACAAGGTAATACAAATGCATGACTTAATTCAAGAAATGGGTTGGGAAATAGTTCGGCAAGAATGCAAGGAAAATCCTAGAAAATGTAGTCGGTTGAAGGACTTTGAGGAAGTATATGATGTGTTAAAAAATAATAAGGTATGAGAAAGACATCTTATCCTCTCTCTACAAATGATTTTTTTTACAAAGTGTAGCCAGATTCATATCATTTACTTTTCTTATGAATTTGTTTTATTTTTCAGGGAATTAAAGGCATAGTATTATATGCTTCTCTCTTTAAAGATGTGCAATTAAATGTTGACACCTTCAAAAATATGACTAATCTCAGAGTTGTCAAATTTTACTCTCCCTGGCATGTGAGATCCTATAATAAGCACCATCTAACAAGTTTTGAGTCATTCTCTGACGAATCAGGGAGCCTAGAGTGGAATGGATACCCTTACAAATCTTTACCATTAAATTTTTATCCTGAGAAACTTGTTTAGCATTCTATGCCAAACAGTCACGTTATGAAACTTTGGAGACTAGTGCAGGTAGCTTTATTTGTATCTTTAATTAGTCGTCTTCTATGAAAATTCTAAAATTTTCCCCATTTGTTAATTGCTTTAGGATTATGTGAATTCTAAGAATAAGCCTTGGTAGATCAAAACAATTCATGGAATTGCTTGATTTCTCAAAGGCATAGGAAATAGAGTGGGAGGATATTTGTTCTTGCGAAAATTTTTGTAACATCAATCCACACATATTATCTCTTTCCATGACTGTTGCTTTGAATTTAGACTGCTCCAAATATTCAAAGACTCTTCACAGTGAGGGTAATTTTAGACCCCTTAGAAACTTTGATGTCAGTTTCTTTTTTAGTGTGAAGGAATTTTCCATTGTCATCAAAGGAAATATCAGATTTGGATTTGTTAACTTCAAATTCCAAAATACTGTACTCATCCATTGGGAGTCTCAATGAGCTACAAAGGATCATACTAGGTGGTTCAAGACTAGAGATTCCTCCCATAAATGAGTTATGTTGCCTGGGATCTTTTGAAGAGCTTAATCTTTCTGATTGCAAACAAATGAATCAAAGCCCAAAGCTTCATGTCCTATTCGATGCCTTATTTGATTTACAAGAGCTATTTATAGCTAGATGCAGTGACTTCTTTAAAGTCCCTGATATTATTGGCACTTATTCATCATTAAAGTATTTGGGACTAAAAGGAAGTTGTATTGATAGCTCACCTGCTAGCATTAAAAATCTTCCTTTGCTTTAAGCAATTAACCTGAGAAATTGCAGGAGGCTTCTATCTATACCACAACTTCCACCCTCAGTTATTCAACTAACTGCACGTCACTAGAGAATGTATTCACTATAACTACATCTGCACCATAGCAAGAAGATATTTTGTCATATTTCTTTTAATTTCATTTAAATTGATAAAATTGTTTTGGTAAGAGAGGATGACCCAAAGTGTTGCAGAACTCCGAGAGTCTCAAGGGTTAGCTGTAGACTCTACAACCTCATTCAGGGTAGGTTTTTCCAGATCCGAGCACCTAGGATGAGTTAGGGGACTCGGTTTTGGTGCCACACTGAGTGTCGTTTATGGTCCGGGCCATTATGTGTCTTCTAAGGCAGGGACTTCGTAGTCAGCAGCAGCATCACACCAGACCTCTTCTGGCATGAGGAATCTAAGAGAGCCATTAGTTAGGCAGCTATGTGAGGAGTTTGAGGCCCAGTTTCAAGCTCGTGAGGCCCATGTTAAGGCTCATGAGGCCAGGATGCAGGCCAAATATGAGCAGTGGATCAAAGCTGCTAATGCGATGATAGAGATTGTCTGGCGAAGGGTAGCTCCTGATATTCCTACTCCTGTGTTGCCTGGTATTTCCATGGACAATGATCTTCTACCCCAACTGCCCCAGCTCCAGCCTGAGCCCGAGCTCGAGCCCGAACTTAAGCCGGAGCCCGATGCGGATGATGATTTTGTGGAGTTGTCATAGAGGGCCGATATTTTTTTTTTAATTTTTATTATCAATCAAACTTTTATTTATTTATGGATTACTATAATTAATAATTGAATTTTAATTTTCATGCGATTCTAAATATTTGAATTAGTATTAGCATTTTTTATTATTTAAAAGTTATTCGATAAAATCAAACATAAATTAAATTTATTAATTAAATTAAAATGTAACTATTAAATTGGAAATTAAAATTAATAAAAACAATATAATCAAGTTAAAGTAATATATAATTCAATTCTAATTTATTAAAATAGAAATTTTTAAATTTTTAAAAAAGAATATTTATATTGGATAAAGAAAATAATATTTTAGATTTTAATTAAAGGTTTATATTCAATTCTAGATAGTTGAATTAGTATTAGCATTTTTTTATTACTTAAGAGTTATTCAATAAAATCAAGCATGAATGAAATTTATTAATTAAATTAAAATGTTACTATTAAATTGGAAATTAAAATTAATAAAATCAATATTTATGTTGGATAAAAAATTAATATTTAGTGGCAGTTATAATTTGCAGCAGTTATGAAACCACTACAAATTTTTTATTTGAAATGAAATTTCCCTCTACTACTAATATTTGCAGCGGTTTAATTAACTGCTACACATTGAAAAATTGCTGCAACAATTAGTAGTGGTTTACTAAACTACTACAATGGTGAAAATTTGAATTTGGAGCCTCTCGTTTTGTAACGGTTATTTAACTGCTACAAATATTTTACTGTTACGATTAGCAGTAGTTTATCGTTTTGCTACGGTAATTTAATTGCTACAATTTTTTGACTGTTGGATTCAGCAGTGGTTTTTGAACTTTGTAGTGGTCATTTAACTGCTATAGATTGTTGACCGTTGCTTTACTCCTTTTTAACCATCTTAAACGTTTCAAGCCCCATTTACACTTCCATTTAAGCTTTTCTCTAAAATCTTTCCCTACTCTTACTTGCATAAGTCATGGATCAAGTTGCCGTGTATGTCCCAACGATATTTGGCTTGATTAACCTCGTTTGTAAAATTTGCTTCAACGCATTCAACTACTAATGGTAAGCTTCTTTGTCCATATCCTAAATGCAATTTTAGTAAGTGGCACCCACATGATATTGTTAAAGACCATTTAATTTTGAAGCCTTTCCCACATACATTTTGGTCTTTCTATGGTGGCAACACGATATGATTACTCACTCAACTCCTACAATTTTCCGAATGGGAATTGAAGTGGAGGAGTCTGACCCTATCAATGACGCTGTGCTTGATGCATTTGGGATTTATGAACGCATATCAAATGAAGAAATAAAGGGACCTAAACCAGAGTTCATAAGAAATGAAGTTGTTTGAAGTTTTTTTGATCTCATGGATGATGTTGATAAGCCTTTATATCATGGGTGTACAAAGTACTCAAAGTTATCATTCATGATAAAGCTATATCATATAAAATGCTTATGCCGTATCACAGACAAGGCAATGTCAATACTCCTGGAATTATTGGCAGACACATTCCCTCATGTGAATTTCCCATCATCGTTTTATAAAGCAAAGAAGATGATTAACAAGCTTGGCTTAAACTACATGAAAATTGGTGCCTGCTCAAATAATTGTATGTTATATTACAGAGAGCATGCTAGCATAGAGACTTGTATAAGGTGCAAGACATCTAGGTATAAATCCATATGGAAGGGAAAAAAGCAAAAGAAGAAACCTGCAAAGATTCTAAGGCATTAGTTGCTTTAATATTAGCTTAAATTTTTTTATAAATTATGTCATTATTAAATTAATAATAATTGCTTTCATTTTCTTTAGAAATTATGTCAATAATAAACTAATATAATTTTTTTAATTTTTCTTTAGAAATTATATCATTAATAAGGTAATAATATATTTGCTTTATTATTTTTTAAATTATTTTATTACTTCAGTAATATATTTGCTTCATTGTTTTTTTAGAATTATTTTGTTAATTAACTACTATATATTTTCATCTTTCAATTCTTAGGTCCTTTCCTTTGAAGCCGTGCCTATAGAGAATATATATGTCATCAAAAATGGCAGAGCATATGCGGTGGCATGATGTTGACAAAAATCCAGACGGCAAGTTAAGACATTCACGAGATTTTGAGGCATGGAAAGTACTTAACTTAGAGTTTCTAGATTTTGTTGCGGATCCTAGAAATGTCCAACTTTTATTGGTGACCAATGGTTTTAATCCCTTTGATAACATGAGCACCAATTATAGTATATAGCATGTGGTGTTAATTCCATATAATTTCCCGCCTTGGATGTGCATGAAACCGAGTTCTTTTTTACTGTCCATGATCATTCCTAGCAAGAAAGCACTTGCAAATGATATAGACGTCTACCTATAACTATTGATACAAGAATTGATTGAGTTATGGACTACTGGTGTGGAAACTTATGACTCATATGAGAAAAAGCTTTTCAACCTTCGCGTAGCGTTAATGTGGACAATTAGTGATTTTCCTAGGTTGGGAACATTATCCGGTTGGAATGTACATACGAGGTTGGCTTGTCCTGAGTACAACTTTGACTTCGAACCTGTGCGCCTTCCACATAGTCGAAATGATGCTTTATGGGTCATCAACAGTTCCTTGATTCGAAGCATAGATTTAGATTGCAACGGAATTGCTTCAATGGTAAACAAGAAAAGAGAGACCCTCTTCTTAATTTATCTGGCATTAATATATTTCAACAGCAAGAAGGTGGATGATGTTGAGTTCGACAAGATTGACGAAGTTGAACGAGGTGGATGATGCTCTCATGGCAAATCGGATGGTCAGCCAATGCAATGGCAGAAAAGAAGTATCTTCTTCACCCCTTTCTTATTGGAAATTAATTTGATTCGCCACAGTCTTAATGTCATGTACATCGGAAAGAATGTGTGTGATAATGTGCTATACATGTTGCTCAACAAACCCAAAAAGTCTGTTAGGAAAGATTTACATGCCCTGGGAATCCGTCCAGATGCTTGGCCTGATGATAATGACACGTTACAACCAGCTAAATTCACATTGACAAAGCAGAACAAGGATATCTTCCTGTCAACATTAAAGAAAATAAAAGTCCTTGATGGATATTCCAGCAACATCTCAAGGTGTATTGATCTGCAGGCTCGAAAGGTTACTGGGTTGAAGAGTCATGACTCGCATGTTTTGATGCAACAATTACTTCCTTTGGCACTTAGAAACACGCTCCCTCCTGATGTCTCCATGATTTTAGTTGAGCTGTATTATTTTTCAAAAAGTTATGCACGAAGGTTTTTATACCAGAGGAGCTAGATCAACTACAAAATAAAATAATTTTGACGCTTTGTCATTTGGAGATGATATTTCCTCTGTCCTTCTTTACCGTCACGGTTCATCTTACAGTCCATCTTGTTCGAGAAGCAAAACTTGCTGGCCCAATTCAATATCGATGGATGTACCCTATTGAAAGGTGTGTTATATTATCTCTTTCAATTTTTCACATTTTTATCTCA